AATCATATATTAAAAATGAAAATTGAATAGGCTGGTGAACTACTGCTTCTCTAATCTGTTTTCGATGTCAATGCCGTCCGAGGTTAAAAATTGAGAAATTATTATTGCTCTTTGTTTCTTGCACAGGATTCCGTCTTTCTTTTCTTGCACATGGTGCCGTCTCATGGTTTCTCGGGATATTAGTTTTTTTTTAGGCAACATTGCCATACCCGTAGCACGTTTTCTGTGTTTTTCTATAGGGTCTTTCTGAGAACATAACCTTTCCTCATTCCTGAAGCTTCTATAAGGTCAATTATGATGTTCATCTTTTACTCAATTTTTTATTCTGCCTGAATTTCAAAGCTTTTAGTCACTAATTTCGTCCATAATAAAATGGTAGGAATATTATATACCGTAAAGTGGGGCTATTTGAGGCAGTGGGGCTATTTGAGACAATTTTTAAAATGGCTATAAAATGAGGAGCGTTTGAATTTTATGTGATATTTTTGCTCAGGAAGGTGTGGAATCGAGCGGTAAATCGCCTGAGCAAAAATTAAGCATGAATTTCAAACGGTTTTTATTTTATAACAATTCTAAATACTGTCTCAAATAGCCCCACTGTCTCAAATAGCCCCACCTTACGGTAGCATAAATTTATACGCAAGCTAGAATGTTTGCAAGACGTTAACCTTTTCTATCATCTGACGTCATTCTGCACTGCAACGATGTCATCGTCTACCCTTTGCTGTCGCATCTCCTCTCCTCGGACGTCACTGTATGCCCCCAATGACGTCACCGTCTGCCGTCAGCTGATCATCCTCTCGGCGCTGGTGGCGGCCGCAGTGGCCAGCACTGCTCCTGGCGACTACTCTATCCCTAACTACAGCTACGGACATAGCACCACCGACCCGTACTCTGGAATAGACAACCACGTCCAGGAGACGCGTCTCGGACACCGCACCGAGGGCTCGTACTCGACGCTGCTTCCCGACGGCCGGAGGCAGATCGTCACCTACTGGGTGGACGGCAACTCGGGCTACAACGCCAGGGTGACCTATGAGGGCGTGGCGCACCATCCGCCGGCGACGCGCGGTGGCGCTGTGCAAGGCGCAGTGGTACACGATGCCGCTCATGGTGCCGTTAGTGCAGGAGCAGGAGCGATCCACGAAGGAGCGATCCACGGAGGAGCGATCCATGGAGGAACGATCCAGGGAGGAGCGATCCAGGGCGGAGCGATTCGCGGAGGAGCGATCCGCGGAGCGTTTGGTGGAGTAGGACAAGGACAGCTGACTGGAGGCCCCGGAGTTGGAAACTTTGGGCACGGCGGTTATGGATACCAGGGGTATGGACCCTATGGACAGCAGGGATATCGGCCTTATGGATACCAGGGATATCGGTCTTATGGATACCAGGGATATCGTCCTTATGGATACCAGGGATATCGCCCTTATGGATACCAGGGATATAGACCCTATGGTTTCCCCGATTATGGATACCAGAGCTACGGTGGAAACGGATATCCTGGATACGGATATCCCCAGCCGTATTACGGGTAGATGTCATGCGCACTAGAAAAGTTACCGCTGGCTGAGGAAAGGCAAGAATTGTATCGCAATTTCTTTGACTAATCAGGGTGGCTATTTTGACAATTGACCTAGGAAAGGTCAGCTCTTGTAACGTAACGCTTTCACGATTGCCTTGGATAAGCCCATTGTTGTATCTGATCGTACCATTTTGTTATATTTTGTCAAGAAGTGTTGAAGGACTGACCTAAACTTTGAAATGGTGGGTAATAAAATATACTTCCGTGTGTCAAGTATGACGTCCCAGCTTTACAATGTTGTAGAATAAAATAAGTGTGTTTGTTAATGCATTGCATGCATTTAGATATTGATATTATATGCTTGATGATGGTGTGGGAAAGTTTGTCTGTTATTTGCATTTCTTTGCTGTCAGCTTCTTTGAAAGTAAGACTGTATGCTCTCCTGAAAGTATCGATGCACTGAGGGGAGGGCGCCACCTGTCCCAGCCACGGCTGAGCAGAAAAGTTTGAGAGACACTGAAAGCACTGAGCGATTCCCGACACGTGACCGCAACCTATATACGGCCTTGACCCGTGACTGCAACTTGACCGCAACAAGCGCCGCGGGCTAAGGGAGAGGTCGAGAAGTGATGGGGGCTGGTCGCCGTCCAGTAACCGTGGTCACATAGCAAGAACATGTGGCTAGCAGAAGCCGCTCGACTTGCAGGGGGGGGGGGGACTGCGAGATTTTTTTCCGTTACAAATATGAATGATTGATCTCTCGCCGGGACATAGGGGGGAGGGGGGGGGGGTACGCATTGCACCCACGAGTCTGGTATAGCCCAATAACCCGTGAATGAACACAGAGCAAAGAACAATGGCATTCGTTGTCGTCATGTAGTGCACACATGATTGGAATAGCATCCATAAGCGAGCACCAATTTCGGGAAAATGTCTTCCTAGCCCTCCAGTCCTGTTGTTTCGAGTTCAAAAAGGCGCTATGCCACGGACATACCTATCAGCTGCTCGAAGGCGGAAAATTGACAATCCAACGTCATAGCGGTGACTGATAGTCCTTTTCTACATATAGCAACGTGGTCTATTTCCACTTTAAGTCTCCTAGCCTAATAACTATTTATTGTTCTTGTAACGACTATCTAACGTGCTACATGTGCCATTGTCTTCTTTCAGTTTATTGTACAAACGTCTTCGGCAAAACACAAACAAGTACCCATACACTGTTGAAACACGTTAACTCGGAAACCCACCAAGGTTACTGCCGACCAGCCCGGGTCCAAAGCCAACACCAATCACGCTGGCACCACGTCCAATGAGTCCAGCACCACCGGCACTGGTGACACGACCACCAGCACCAGTTCGCTAGAGCTTCGCGGAAAAAAACGAGCGTGCTGCCCGTCACGAGAGAAAGCCGATGATGCCCAATTTTAAGATCCTAGGTCATCGGTTGACCTTCCAGGTCAGGTCAATGACCCAAACGTCGGGAAAATCAGGGCCTGCTAGAAAGTCGTAAAGTATGGCTGCTATGGGAGTTTTCGGGGTGCTGATCACGAATATCGTGTAAGTTTTATCGTAGATGATGTCTTTAAGCATTAAGACCAGGGGCCGTATTCACGTCGACTTCGTAAGTCGATTTTCTTTCGTAAAGTATAATTTGGTATTCACGTCGACACTTCTTAAGTTTTTATCGACGGAGTTCACGTGAATAAAAAAAAAATTACTTAACCCGCGCCCCACTGGGAGGGGGCTATTTATAGCCCCCCTCCCGTTTTTCTGCAATAACTTCCAAACCGCTTGACGGATCGACGCCAAACTTTCAGGACCTTCGGCTGCATCAATTTGACACCTTGTGTCAAAATTTGAACTTTGTAGCTACCATAGGTCGGCCGGAAATGACGTCAGAGTGACGTCATGTTCGTCCGATTTCGACGCAAAACATTGAACCACGGCAATCGCTCCCAAGAGCTCAGTTTTTAAGCTAGATCCAATTTCTTTGCATGAAAGGACTCAGAATTGACAGCGCTATCAAACTGCTATCTCGGATTTTCAAAATTTTGAAAATTTCGAAAATTTTATATAATAATATTCAAAACTTATATTTTTATACTTTTTTCAAAAAGTTTTTTGACTTTTCGAAAAAAACGGAATATATGTGACAGAACGCATAATGTTGACTAACTCTAGTAAGTTTTAGCTAAATATCTTCAAAAATGGCCAAGTTATACGCATTATTGCAAAAAAATCACAATTATTAATTTTTCAAATCAATTTTTCAGTACGTATTTGACATCGTACACCAATATAAATGGCACCATCGTGTTCCTGAGCTCAAACTGCATCCATTAGACACCTTTTTTGTTGAAAAATGTAAACTTCAAAATTTGACCTTTTTTGACCTGAAAGTGACCTGACCTAAGCGAAATTCGACTCCAAATGACCTCGAATGACACAGACGACATCAAATTCGAAATCTATGGCCTAAATGGACCATAAAACATGTGTCACGTGACCGACGCATGATATAATATTTTCGTGACCTGTGATGACCTGACCCTGACCTGAAAATCAAAGTACAAGTTTGGTACCCTCAAAGTATCTAGAGCATCTCTTCACGAGTGTGGAAACCAAAAATGAGCCTGATCTGACTTGTAAGACGGCGGCCAGAGCCCAAAATGTGAACAAGCCAAAATGCTAATAATTTTTATTTGACCTGGCCTGTGACGTCATCGGTGACCTCGAGGTCAATGAAATTAGGTTTCGCTCGACAGTTTTTCCGGGGCTATCAGACGCCGTTTGAATTTTGACGATCGGCCCAGTAGTTTTGGAGTTAGGAGGGGGGCTATGAATAGCCCCCCCCCCCCCCCCAGTAGGGCGTGTTATACACAGACCCCAGTGGGGCGCGGGTTAAGAAGTAGGTCAAGCTTAAGAAAATTCTTACGAAAATGATCGACGTGAATACGGCCCCAGGGGCCCTTATGAGTCCGATTTATAGATAGACACAAGTGCACCTATCAAAATCATAATCTGGCACTGCGTCGTATGTCACCTTCGCTCGAGCTATCTCCCCTGCCGTCTTAAGTCATATGTCCATGTCATACTCATGATAAACCGATCCGCATCCCCTTACGTGTCCCTTTCCGGGCTGGCGGTCACCCCCAGCGGACAACCGGTGGAGAGGGCAACTCCTCATCGGACTAGCATCCTCTCCGGGGTGACCGTTTGAGTGGCAGGGCGGGCGTTCCCATCGGGACATCGCCGCCTCACCGGGACAGTCTCTCCCACCGCGATGGACCACCGCAGCTTCCTAATATCTACACCCTATCTTATCATCCCATAGCTTTGTATTTTTTTTTTTACACCGAAAGAGCTTGCTCTCAACAAAACACTCGTGATAGATTAGATAGACGGCCACCCGAAAACGGTATCGTGCAAGATGATTGGTCCAATCGCAGCGGGGATGGGACGGGTGGCGCTGTGCGGAGGTGGATGAGAGCTACCAATGACCAGCTGTCACAGGTCAGACAGTTGGGCGCGGCCGGCGGTGGAGCTGCTTTTCGGTGACGAGTGTGACCTGGGCTGACCCGGACGAACCCATGGTGGCTACTTGACAGCAACATTTCCCGGATCAAGGAAACGGTGAGTCGTGAGATGTCATCAACAATTTTGATGTTTGTTGGATTGTGTGTAGGTACCTACTACATAAACTCTTGACGGATGTTAAAAGTGACGATAGCTGTCGCAATTAATTTGGTCGAGGAACAGAAATCACGCCATGATTTGTGTTCTCTATTAGGCACTCCAGAAAGAGGTATTGAAAACAGGTTGCATATGTAGTATGTTCGATACTCGATACCTATCGATCAATTTTGTTTCGATCAATCATGTTTCAGCCTTTGATGATAGATTAATGGGGTTAACTGCATTCTAAAAGAAAATACCTACATATATACGAATGCGTGACAAGATATCTCAATGATAATGTGGTAACTGACGTCATGAATCCTGATATATTACAGAGATGGTCAAATATCTGTCATGGTTTGCAAGTAAGCATGGCCTGCTTCGTGAAGAATGTGTCTCCAACTGTCCGTTGGTAGTTGATGGCAATGATCTCATCGTGTCATTGAAAAACTGGTGTTATGATAAAATAGACGAAGGAGGCATCTACCAAAGTTATGCGAGGAACGTGAAAACGTTTTTCTGCGACTTGCAAAGGTATGTTGGGCACGAGGGTGATTTAACCCTCGCCCGTATAAGGGGGGGGGGCGAACTGACCCCCCCTCGGTTTTTTGCGAATAACTCGCGTAAAAAGCAGCTGATTGCGACGACACTTTCAGTACCCCCGCGTTAATCCATTTTACACCTACTCTAAGAATTCCAGGATCCTGACCCAAATGACCTTTCACCTGTGACTTACTTTTCGAGACCATGTTTGGCCGGAATCGCGATTCGGCGTATGTCGGCTCGTATTAGCCGCGCGTTTGCAGTTTTTTCGTGGTTTCAGGCGTTCAAACATGCAATATGATGTTGCGTCCATGCATTAGGGTTGGTGTCAACTGTCAAGGTCATCTGAAGGTCAGGTCAGGTCATTGACCTTTGCTGATCTCGGTTCACTTTTTCGAGTTTTACATGTTTCTAGGCTAGTTTTTGGAGTTGAATTCGAATTTGGAAACCTGAACATTTACGAAGTAGTTATGGTGCCTTCGTAACATGTTACGGAGCTGTCAGAGGCGGTTCACACCTAATTCGAATACCCGGCAGGACCCCTACTGGTTGATCTGACCTGACCTGACCTGACCTGGCCTAAATGCATGAAGACATCATCTGTGCTCAAAACGAACATGATATTCGTGATCAGCACCCCCAAAAACCCCATAGTAGCCACGCTTAACGACGTTCCAACAGGTCTCGATTTTCCCGACTTTTGGGTCATTGACCTGACCTGGAAGATCAACCAATGACCTAGGACCTTAAAATTGGGCATCATCGGCTTCCTCTCGAAACGGCAAAGAGGTCCAACGAACCCCCTCCTCTATATGTTCGCGGCTGTCAAAACACCAATACGGGCGAGGGTTAAAAAATGATACCACCGTAAAGGACGTGGGAGCTCGGCAACGGCACCCAACGCGCGACGTTGAAGGATGTTAAAACTTTGTACCTTTTCCAATATTCCAGATCCGGAATTTCTCCTGTTGTGCTGCTCCATGACGAGCTACCCGTCAGACTGGGCATATCACGGGTGTCCGTGGAATTCGACTCGGATTTCATACAGGACTCATACAAGGACCACGGCTTTCGACTTACTGAGGATCTAACCAGTCAGCTGCTTTACAAAAACATATTTTTGCAGGTATGTAATTTGGAAGTTGTCCAGCAGGTACCTGAAAACAGTGTTTACACAAGATCTAACTCGTTTTCATGTTTTCATTATTGACACAAATATCGTGTGTCTTAAATACAGATGAGTTTTATTGTTTTTCCGCGCGTTACTGATGGACCCCACGGAGTAGTGATTTCCATTAGAAGATTGAGATACCTATACAAAACCAAACAAACCATGAAAAGTATAAACTTTGAGCAAGCTTTTGAAATTGAAACTGAATGCGCATTTTCCGCGTCGGCCGATCCCCGCTCCAGCCGGCGACATATAACTCTTTGCAGGCTTTTAACCAGATGTGCATGGATCCCAGAAAATTAATCTGAGATCGAATCCCAAAAGCCCTGATCTCGGATCCGATGGGATCATAGATCCCGCTTTTTAGTTAACTGAGAGATCCACTTGGATCACAGGTGCGAGACAATTTTTTTCATTGAGACCCAGTAAGATCATAGATCTTCACTAGTTTTTGTCAACACAGGAATGCCAAAAATTCACTTGTTGTAAATTACAAACGCTCTGTTTTTATTGATTTATATGATTGCACGCCATAATTCATAGTTTTGACTTCTGCAGCACTTACTGACATAGAAACTCTAAAAAAATAGTTTGAAATGTTTTGCATGGTGGGATCCTTTCAGGTCATAGATCCATGCTCTTAGTTTATCGTCCAATCCTACGAGATCATACATAGATCCAGGATGAATTACTCCGGTGATCCGGTGGAATCATACATCCTAACCTGCAGTTTGTTTCGAGATCCACTGATATTGATCCATCACTCGGATACATGCACATGTCTGCTTCTAACCGCCATATTTATTGTTAATTAAGTATAGATTCGCCATACATAGGTACTCAAATATTTGGTCCGTCGTAAAGTGAACGAAATGGGAAGTCGGCCAGTAACTTTTTGAGTTATCGGAGTATAAACGTAAGAAGTCACTAATGTGGGAAATTTGGCCACGATTGACCCTAGCAAAATATTGACCTAGGGTCATGTTATTCCCAGACAATAAAGTTGTCCGCCGCCTTCAGCTACCAGTTACCACCCAAATTTCATATTTCTAGTGGTTATAGGAGTTGAGATGTTTAGGGGTGACATTCACCCCCCCCCCCTTCCACTAGGCTGAGTACTCGTAACCCTTCCACTGCGTGTGTTAATACAAATAGGTCATGTTTGTATTTCCACAGGTACTTCGGCGCCTGGAGATACCGCACATCGTCTGTTTGAATGATGCAACCGCCGAGTTCACTGCGCTGGCCCGAAAACTGGACTGTCCAATCATGGGAATTCAGAATAAGTACCTGACCCAGAACATAGTCGCCGTCAAGGTACCACGAAAAAGGGCCGTGCTGCAGCTTCGCCATCCGCCGCCGGGACAGAAGGGGTTCTACATGCCCTGTGAGGTGTTCCACCCTGAAAGGTGATGCAACTGCTGAAAAAGGCGGCTGATATTACACTAAAATGATGATCGTAAATAAACCCTAAGCGTAGCTTACTTCAAGTAACTCATGTTATGGCAGGAGTTTCACAATCGGGGCAGCGAATGGCAATGACTGACCTGACCTCCGATTGCCCTTACAAGAAGTGCGAAGTCTACTTGCAGAGGTGTGTCGAGACGAGATCCTTTTCAATTATTTGACGTTTTGTCATACTGAAAAAGACATGATACTGGTTAAGACTCACCTGGTCAACTCACCTTGTTGGGTTTCCATTTCCGTTCAGAGCCAAAAACATGGTTAGGAAATTGAATTCGAATTTGGAAACCTGAACATTTACGAAATAGTTATGGTGCCTTCGTAACATTGGCGTATTCAATGAGCACGAACATATGATATTGTCCACAGCGATACGGCCTTGCGACAGCGCAACATATTTATCATTGGTAGCTCTGCAACGCGCGTATGTCTAGAAAAGTGTAGGTACAACCGTCAGTCAGTGAATTCTTAGCCCAGCGCCTTCTCCAGTAACTTCTTGAAGCTAGCTAAGTTAGTTGTGGTCACAACATGCTGTGGCAAAGCATTCCACGCAGCTATGCATCTCACATTGAAGAAGTGTCTCCTTACATCGGTGTGAGACGTCGGAATGAAAATATTATTGCAATGACCTCGCGTGCTGCTGTGTTATAGGACGTTCAAACAGGTCAGATACATCTAGGTGACTCCTGCCATTAAACAACTTTCAGCACTGAATAAGATCTGCCCTCAGCAGTCTGCCCTTGACTGAGAAAAGCTGCAAGCTACGTAGTCTACCGGCATAGTCAAGTGTCTCAACTGAGACGATTTGATTGACGATTGACCGATCACCGAGACGACTTGAAGGCATGATACATGATACTGCTTCTCTTAGGTTGCAATCCTTAAGCGATAGAAACGCTCGGCCAAATCAAGTACGCATATACCTTAAAATATTATTCAACCTTGATCCGGTCGATTCGACAGATTCCTGAAGAAGTTCGACATCTCCGTCGAGATGCTGCCTCTCGTCTCGACGATCCCGGGCACCGGTCCACATCCGCCAGCCCTGTTCGACGCGTTCTTCGAGAAGCTTGAGGAGCAGTACCACTCTGTGGAGCAGAAGCAATTCCGACGACTGGACCTGCTGATGCGGTGGCTCTCCGACAAGGATTCCATTGAAACTGCCCTGAAAGAGGTTTGTCCTTCTGGTATTGCTTTATTCCTTGCGGTATATTCCGGTAGATTGCTTGCCTTTAACATCGCCGGCCGAGTGGGGAAGGGGGTGACGCACTCCCTTATAGTTTATTTTTCGCAATAACTCCGAACTCGCCGGCGATAGAAAGCTGAAACTTGGCATACCTGACCTTTGAACCAAGTCACATTTTGAGACACCAACTGCATTTTTAGGTCAGGTCATGTCACTGACCTATAACGTCATAAGTGAACTTCGACGTGAATCATTAAGCAACTGAATACATCATATTTAATTAGTCACCTCGTCAGAAAACAGTAAATGTCACTCGCTGGTGAATCGCCCGTGAACACATTGTGCTTATATATTGTTAAGGGATGATATGACATGACATTTAATTTGCCTATCTTGTGTATGCCATCTGCTAGGCTTATGTCTAGGAGAGTGGCACAACATCAGACCAAAAGAAGTTATAAGGGAGTGATTGCTGACAGTATGGATTTCTTTCAGGTGCTCTGCAGCTGCCAAATTTCCGAACAGGAAAAGTGGGACATCGAAGACCAAATTCATCGAATCATCAGCTGCCAAGAAAAAAGCAGTCTCGAGTTTTTCAGGGACGCCAGGACCATGATGCTGCCCAAAGGGATGGTGCTGTGCGACATAGCTGCTCCCGTGGCTCCTTCAGTCCTCTCTGGCTACACTCCAAGTTCAGCCCCCACTGACCCCACTCCAGTCCCCACTGGCCCCACTTCAGCCCCCACTGACCCCACTCCAGCCCCCACTGACCCCACTCCAGTCCCCTCCGACTTCAGCTCCACTCCAGCCCCCACTGACCCCACTCCAGCCCCCACTGGCCCCACTCCAGCCCCCACTGACTCCACTCCAGTCCCCACTCCAGCCCTCTCTATCCGCCCCATCCCTACCCGCAGGCCACCACTGTATGACCCCACTCCACCCGCAGCCAAAACCCGTCCCGCCTGGGTCAAATTCCCACATCCGCCGGCACTGCGACAAGCGGCAGCTAGCGGTACCGTGCGCACCAGCTGTCTCAGAGCCGTGTACAATGTGCCAATAAAGCTGATACCAAGAGTCGAAGGTGATGACCTCCCGTTCAGCCGCATGGCAGCTATGCCGCTGCAGGCGAGACTCTCGGCGCTGCTGGGAGCTCCGACCCAGCCGCTGGTGCTGCTTGGTGCCGTCCACAGGGGCGAGAATCACCAGCTGCTGGCGAGCTGCACATGGCGCGCGCCGCTGCTGGATTGCGTCCTGCTGGGAGGCGAGCAAAGCCGACTCCGAGCGGCGCTCAGCACGCTACAGCTGCGGCCGAACACGCTGGACGCGCTGCCAGAGCTGCTGCGGCTGCCGGCCGCCGCGCTGGTCGAGTGGCGGCGAGTCACGAACCCCCGCAGCGGGCGAGGTCAGGTGCGCGCCGTGCTGCTGACCCTGCTGGCGATGACGCCGGCCGACACGCCGCCCTCGGCGCTGGGCCTGAGCGCTTCAGCGGCCGCCGAGTGGCGAGCCCGAGCCTGGCCATGGCGCTTTGCACAGCCTTCGAGAGGTCGGACTGACCGGAAAGCGATGCACCTTCAGAACGAGCTGCAGGACGTGTTCAAGACGGTGCTGAGCGTGAACGAGGTGCTAGAGCAGCCCCTGCAGCAGCTGGATGTGGTCGATACAATCCACGTGCCGATGACGATGCTATTCGGCTTTGCCAGCTACGGTAAGTGATTCTTTGACCTATTGTTTCTATCTATTGTTCTCTGCCTTACTGTAACGACTCTCTGCCTTACTGTAATGACTCTCTGCCTCGTGTACTTGTGCCATTTGTCCTTTTTTGCCTGTGCTTACGCTCTTTTTTATTGCGTTTATGATCACTTTGTCCTGTTTCTGTTACTGGCAGCTGAGACGCGCATGTGCCCCTTATTGACCAGCGCATGTGTGTTGTAACGGGTTTTGTGTCATTCGAAGCCGCAAGTATACCCCAGAGCCATTGCGTTTGAATCACAATCGCAGCAGTGAAATAATGCCATTTCCTCCGCAGGCTACGACCCCGAGCCTGGAGAAGAGGTGATGAGCCTGGTCGACGCGGTGGCAGACACTGTCGAGGAGGAGGTCTGCTGGTGGCTGGACAACGGACGGCAGGACAGCGGCAGTGCAGGTGGCGTATCACCCCATCGGGCTCACTGGAGGACGAGGTCTTGTCACGTCCTGCGGGATTTCCATTTGGTTCATTTACAATTCAGTTCTTGACCTGATTGTGTTTGTAAAGTCAGGACTCGTTGTTAATTGCTGAAAGAAATATGGAACTTGACATACATGATCTCCATAACGCCAACTCTAGGAGTTCATCGCCCTAAAGAGCCACCAGTACCCTGCCCTACCTGCCAAGTCCAGATTGGAAACCTGGACACCAGATTCTCAAACCGAAGCACCAGGTTCCCAGGGTTTCTTAATAGCTTTGACATACTTTGTCTGCCAATTCACGTAAGCTGAACTTGTCCAATGCTGATTAATTCTATTCCCACAACTTCTTACGACTGCGTCCTTTCGCAGGTGCTCCTGCATGGACGCCTCCACACAGTCGCCAAGGTCCCTCCAGCTCGGAGCACACGGATCTTGGGGCAGTCAGAGAGCTCACCGGCCTCATCAACAAGCTGACCGGCGAGAACGCGCCGCACCTGCTGGAGAAGATGCGCCACGTCTCGGTACAAACCGAGTACGGACTCTACGCACTCGTCGATGTTGTCTTCCGAGCTGTGCTGAAGATGCCGCGACTGATCGATATTTGCGCTGACGCATGCGCAGTGCTTGACAAACTCCAGGTAAGTGGAAGGTGAGGGGCACCACGGCAACAAGATTGTAGAACCTCAGTTGCCTTGATTGTATTGGTCATGTGCGGAATTACGTAGCCGTGATACATTCTATGATGAATTTGATTGGAATCCTTAGCTTTAGATGTGTTGACCGATGTCTTTATCTTCCTTCGGAAACCGCTCTGGAGTCCGATCGACCCAGTACGAGTATGTCATCCGATCACCCCCGCGCTAATGTTGGCACCGCGTGACATCAAACCTCGCCCCAACTGCTCGCCAGGTGAAGTCAGACCGCAGAGACGGCACGGCCGTCAGCTTTGGCGACTTCATGCTGACCCGGCTGTCGCGTGGCCTCGCGCCCGTCAACCGGAACACACTCTCGCGGGAAGACCTGCTGCATCACCTGGAGACGGTGGAAGACCCCGCGGAGCGCCGACGCCAGCTGCGGGAGCTGACAGACTGCTGGCGACAGGCCGAGAGGCGGCGCTGCGTCTGCCTGCTGCTGCTGGCAGCGCTCATTCGCCGAAACCTGGTTCCACTCCGGGCAGCAGGGAGCTGCTTTAGCGAGCTGGTGTACGAGCTGAAGCCGAAAGGTAACAGGCTTCGCAGTGTGAAGCTGTTCGATGACGACAGCGGCCCGGGGATGAACGCTGTGAAGGAGGCTGCCGAGGAAATAGTCAACTTCATCCTATCTTTAACAATGCAGCCTATTCAATGGAAAACTTACATGCAAGAAGTTTACGACCAATTCGCTATGAACGACTCAACGGAGGATGATGACTCCCAGTCTCCTGACGAAGAACCTGAAGCTGGTTGCCAGCCTGAGGCGGAGGGGGAAGCACGAAAGACGTCCCTAGGAAGTACGAAGGGAGTTAGCTCACTTACGGAAGGAGCTGACGTGAGTCACGAGACTGTACTTGCTGAGGTGCTGTACGAGCCGGGGCTGAAAGGTTACAGGCTTCTCAGTGCAAAGCTGTTCGATGAGGAGAGTGGCCTGGATATGAACTATTTTAAAAAAGTCTTCGAGGAGATCATCGGCTTTATCTCACCTCCCGAGAAGTGGGCTATGCCGCACAAACCTGGCTTCCGAAGGGCCTTTTACAGATTCGCTATGAACGACTCAACAGAGAATGATGATTACCAGTCTTTTGAGGAAGAACCTGAAGTTGATGGCGAGCCTGAGGCAGAGGGGGAAGCACGAAAGACGTCTCTAGGAAGTACGAAGAGAGATAGTGCATCTTCGGAAAGAGCTGACGTCAGACACGAGACTGAGGAAAACTATGAGGCCGTGAAAGGGGTAACGTTATCCCCAAATGGTGGCAGTGTGAACACACAAGAAGTGCCTTAAAAGTGTGACACTTGGGAAGAGAACACTTTCAAAAGTGGACGCGTTCGCTACACGCAAGAGAGCTTAGTCTGCGGCAGATCCCAAAGCATCATTTGCTGTGAAGGTAAAGTACTGCTTTATGTGGTGTCATTTAATTTTTCTCAGATGAGCGTTGATATGCCGGCTTGTGATATAAGATATGAAACGTTGTACTATGTTAAGAACTTATGCTCTCTGAACAAGAAAAGAGACAATGTTTCTTAGAAGTTGGATGCAGATGAAAGATTGAAACAGTCAAAGGTGAGAAGTGATGCTGATGGGAGGGGTCGAGGACGAGGAGTTGTTGCGATGTGATGTTAAACCTGAAGAAGTCATAACTCGTGGAGGGTGGGAGAAATTCTTCTGACTTCAGCTTTTTGTTTGCTCTGTTGGTGATGTGCTTTGATGATCGACTCAAATGGTTTTAATTTGTGAGATTGTTTATCGTTGCGAATGATTTATCAAAGTGTGTGATGATGGATAGAACGATATTTAAAGGAATTCCATTTGTATTACAACACTATCTATGTGTAAATGCTTCTAGTTGTGTTGTGGGTTATGTTCGTTCTGTTGTGAGGAGGTACGCCCAGTGATACATTTTCCAGATGACGACCGACGTTTTGATCAGATTACATTTACTGGCACCCACTGCATCGAACTACAATAGCTCGTTTTGTGATTCTTATTCATTACTCATCTTAGCCATGCATAGTCTTTCCTCAAATTGTCGGTTCACTGAGGGGCGTCACCATTCGCATGTCGCAGCCGGAGCGAAAATGTTTAATTTGATTTCATCCAATTCTTCTAAGCTTGATGGATAACGAAAAATTGCGTGTCTGGTACATACTCGTATTTATCTCTTGTAGGCACGTCTCTTGTATATTTACACACATTAATTGTCATTTACCATACGCACGTCTCTTGTATATTTGCACACACATTAAATGTCATTTACCTAATTGTCACCTAATTTCATTTACATAAACCAATTTTCTCGCGTCCCAATCCCAGATCCTTCAACACTGATCAGAGGTCGCCGTAGCCCCGGTCGGCGGCACTGCGCGGCGGTACGCCACACCCGACCCTCGGTAACCTGACCCGAGAGCACCGTCCAAACCCAGTCCGGAGCCACCACCAAAGGCCGCACCACCTCCAACTCCGTAGCCAGGACCGCCAGAAGCGCCCAGAGCAAGTGAGCCCAGCCCTGCGGCGGACCGCCCATAGCCGAGGGGCGTGGTCTGCGGATGGTACGCCACGCCCTCGTAGGTCACCCTGGCGTTGTAGCCCGAGTTGCCGTCCACCCAGTAGGTGACGATCTGCCTCCGGCCGTCGGGAAGCAGCGTCGAGTACGAGCCCTCGGTTCGGTCACCGAGACGGTTCTCCTGTGAGTCGACGTCCACGCCTGAGAAGGTGTCCTTCACCGAATAGCGGGTGCTGTAGTTGGGTACCGAAAAGGAGCTGCCCTGACTGTAGGAGGCTCCCAAAGATGAGGAGGATCCACCAAGTCCTACCGCGCGACTTTGACCGAGCCCCACACCACGACTTCCGCCAATTCCTCCCACACGATTTCCACCAACTCCTCCCACACGAGTTCCACCAGTTCCTACTATACGTCTTCCATCAGTTCCTAGAGCACGACTTTTCCCAATTCCTCCCACACGATTTCCACCAGTTCCTACCACACGACTTCCACCAAGTCCGACGGCACCACGAAGATTGGGTCGAGTTCCTCCGGCCTCCCTCCCGCCGACGACTTCAGAGCCTCCATGACCTCCAACAGGTGCTCCAACGGGTCCAGAGGCTTGGAAACCTCCCATCCGGCCTCTGGGGCTGGTATAATACGGAAGAGGAGCTGCCAATGCCACAGCGACTACGGTAGAAATAATGACGTAATGACATGATGTGGAGATGGAATTAAATTGATGAAATACTAGGACTTACTCCACAAGGAGATCGAATGGGTCGGTTCGATCTCCTTGTGGAGTAAGTCCTAGTATTTCATCAGTAGAAATAATGATTATCTGAAAACATCGGATATTCACATTGGTTTCACAGTTGGCGCTGCTTCATTTAAGCAAACATCGATGCATACAAAGGTCACGGAGAAAGGAAGCCTGCAAAATATGACAATTTTGTCCAAGAATGAAATGCGTAGTTGCATATGAAGTCTTTCGCCTTGAAAACAATTTTTAGATTTAATTTGTGCTAACCGTCTTCCCTTGATCACATTTTGAAGGACAGAATCATATTTTAGGACGACTGAGCAGTGTGCAAAGCGAATTCATTCGTAACATTCACCGCCACGCCATCGACTCCCCGTTTCTTCTGGCTCAATTCCCTTTGGCTGCTCCCACTCGGCTGCTTCGCAACTGGAGCACTTTTCACGTGTCTTACGCTAGGGTGAACACCGTCAAAAACAGCCTGTTCAATCGCATACCGATGCTCAGCAATATGTTTCTGGACGCAAACCGTGACGTCGATGTGTGGCAACATAGCCAGCTACAGTATAAGAAACGAGTAGCAGCGTATGTCCGCTCGAGGCAGCCCTGTGCACATTAGATAGAACGGGGAGATGTGAACTGCAGCTTTTTCTCATACTTTTAACGAACCTAGGTCTGCTTGATATTTTCCATCCGTGTATGTGTGTGTATGTGTGCGTGTGTGTGTGTAATATGTAGGTATATGGGACTACGTCCATCAATGGGTGCCCATGCCCGTGGATGTTTTGAAAAATAAATAAAATAAAAATAAAATAAAATTCAATACATCACCGAAACTAAGCTTAAACATGAAACCAATATGCTTTACAACAAGATTACTCTACCTTTTGGCAATGTTTTCATACACTTCATACACTAAAAAGTAAATCGCACTGCTATATAGCAAGGTCAATACGCTGCAGGCGCATTATTCTGCATATCCCGCTGTTGGCAGCCAAAACTCACCCACATGATGTTTCCTCTTCTAGTCCAGAAATGACAGTAAATCTCCAGATCGGTGCTCGCCTTATAAATCATGGGCTGATGTTGCCTAACGATTCTGTCCTTACCGAAATATCTCCCACGATAGTTTGGACCGGTCTGAAAACAGTGTTCTACCCAAATAGAAAGAATATCAGGCAAGGCCGGTCAGCGCAACTGGTCCAGTTTGCACAGAACAAAAAGGACCGGTCATGGAATGGTGTAAGCGGATGGACATGCGTTGGCGGTCGGCACTCAACACTTCTCGCACGATCGACACAATGTTTGTGTCAAATATTTCATAACTATCGTCACGAAGCTGAGATGAGATGACACCCCATTACCTTTTTCGTGAACCGCGTGAATATGCGTGGTTAAAGTGATGACTCATCTATGTATGTAGCAATGTCTTGGATCACGAGTGCGCTAGCCGTGTTTCCAAAACTTATGACATGTCATGATCAATTTTTTTCTGCCATAGCTAATGCTTCACCACATACAGATAGGCGATACTTTCCACCACTCAAGGGAGACTTTTAAGTCTCAACGGAGACTTTAACCCCTTGATGTCAAAGTTGACACTGATGAGATTGATGTGAGGCGCAAGCTGAAGGATCGTACAGTTGCAGTTTGGCATTCCCGTGGTTCCGATTGAGTAGGCCACCACCATGGCGTAGTGAACACTCTCCGTCATGTCCTCCCTCAGGTTCGGTGCACTGGCGGGCGGCCGCACGCTCCACGCTGCGACAGCCCCCCTCCCCCCCCCCCCCCTCCCCACCACCACCATCACACACACACACACACACACACACACACACTTCAGCCCCCTTTCTCTCACCAAACAGTGGTTTTATGCAAAGGTCTTTTTTATTCTGCTTGCACTAAAATTGAGCATTTACACTTGAGCAGGTGATGGCACTTCGAGCACTTCCTATAGACAAACGAAGCGTCACAGCGGACATCCGTTTGTGTCATCTCAAATGTCCAAAATGTTCTTTTTAACGGAATGTTATTTATGCATTAAAAGCTATATTATGTGCCTCCCGCGGGGCTAACTTTATGTCGTTCTTTATTGATCAATGATTACCCTGTAGTTATTTACTTTTATGTGTCATGCGTCTCAAAATAAGGGTTTCAGTGACCACAGCAGTTGAGATGCAGTGTACAGTGTACACCCTCACCTTTGCCCCCTGCACTTACGTGGGACAGATTGCACTCCTCGGTCCAAGACTGCCAGCTTTGTCACTCTGACATCTGACGCCTATCAGCCAAACTGCCGGGGGGTGAGGTCTCAGCTCTTTGAAGTTACCGTGAAAACTACTGGTCACCGTGACCCCTTTATTTAAACCGATCATATATCGACACGAGTGCACATATCGAAAACATTATCTGCCACTGCACTGTATGCCATCAGTGAGCGTCTCGCCTGCTGTTTTATATTCAGTCACCCGCCCTTGTCTTCCTTAGAAAGATCCATCCACTCCCCCGCTCCCCCCCCCCATGCTTCCCTTTCCGGGTTGGCGGTCACCCCAAAAAGCCAACCGGTGGTGAGGTCAATTCCTCATCATTGGACTAGCATTCTCTCCAGGGTGGCCGTTTGAGCAGCAGGACTTCCATCGGGACGTCAACGTTCCACCGCTGTGGCCCGTGCCGCGGCGCACCATGTGGGTAGTCTGTGTATTCCGATACTCTATCTTATCATCCCATGCAGTGCTGCATTTTTCAGGCCGAAGGGGCTTGCTCTCAACTAAACACAAAGATAAGTGATCACCTGATGACGGGCGCGATTGCTCTAATCGCCGCGGGGAGGGGACGGGTGGCGCCGTGGATGGGCGGATAAGGGTGGACCAGCGGTCTCGGGTCAGACAGTTGGGCGCGGCCGGCGGTGGAGCTGCGTTTTGGTGACGTGTGTGACCTGGGCTGACCCGGACGAACCCATGGTGGCTTCTTGACAGCAACATTTCCCGGATCAAGCCAACGGTGAGTCGTGAGATGTCATCAACAATTTTGATGCTTGTTGGATTGTGTGTAGGTACTGCATAAACTCTTATAACGGATGTTAACACGCGCACCGACGCGACGGGGGGGGGGATATCCGCCCCCTGAGGTTTTTCGCGAATAGGGGGAAAACCGCGGCGCGTAGCGCCGCGAAATTTGGTACGACTATTCCCTCATCAATTTTACACATGGTGTGCAAGTTTGAACCTCCTAACTTTAAAGGTCAGGTCATCAGGTCACTTTGAATGACCCAACCTCAAGTCACTTTTTTGCAACTTTGTCACCGTGCCAGAGCTACAGTAGATGTCGGAGGCCTTTGAAAGTCGCAGGATGTTATTAGGTCATTAGTAGCTACAATTTTTATATCTCGAAATTTTGATATCGGTGACCTAAGGTCAGGTCAATTTCGCGACCTCCCCATTATAAGTCAATGGGGAAAAAATCAACTCCCTGTTTTTACCACTAAAACGGGTCGGAATGGCCCCATATACCATACATGACTTCATATACGATCAACCTTCACTACCTTGAGGTCTGTTTTGCTGTTGGGCAGCTGTAAGGTCATGTGACGTCATCAAAGGTCACCAGCGGTTTTTTGCCAATAACTCCGTACAGGAACAAGATACAGCCGCGCGGATGGTCTCATTGTGTTCAGCTCGTCAAGACGCATCGAATGGTATGCATGATGACCTCAAGGTCACGTGACCTGAGGTCAACCTTTGACCTTGACCTTTTGAGGTCAAAATATATATCATTCGATGCGGATTGACGAGAGGCTCACGATGATGCCCTTAGTTTGTTCCTATCTTGACTAATTCGAAAGTTATTCGAGAAAAACTCTCCATATCTAGCGCCGCCATTTTGACTTTTTGGAGCCCTGTGACGTCATCTTTGACCTGACCTGAAAATGACCTTTGTAAAAATTGTAGACCATGACCGTGCGTATCCGATGCCGTTTATCGCTTGTCGTTATCTTGCTCCGTTCTCGAGATCTCAGGGGGGCGGTCATCCGCCCCCCCCCCCGTCGGTACGAAGTTGGCGCAGACCCCCGTCGGTGCGCGGGTTAAAAGTGGCGATAGCTGTCGTAATTGATTTGATCGAGGAAGAGAAATCATGTCATGATTTGTGTTGTCTATTAATCCAGAAAGAGGTATTGAAAGCAGGTTGCATATGTAGTATGTTCGATATTCGATACCTATCGATCAATTTTGTTTCGATCAATCATGTTTCAGTCTTTGATGATAGATTAATGGGGCTAATGGCCCTTTCACACGTAGCAACTTTTCAGTCGCCGGCGACAGCAGCAGTCGCCGGCGACCGCCAGCGACCGCCAGCCAACGATCGTGTGTGACGTAGGTATGACGTAAGCAAGTCGGTGGCGATCGCCGGGCCACGGCCGGGCAATCGCCAGCAACTGGTGACGTCAGATCCGCGTCACAGGCCAGTCGCCGGCGACTCTTCTCGAGCAGCGGACGCCGCCATGACAGTTTTGTCCTTGGTGAGTGGTTTAGGTGATTTGTGATGCATTTTTGGTTGGTGTGGCTACCTTAAATTTGTTGCACAGTAGCATAGGGATTATTATCTTGTAGTTTGCCTGTCGTGAAGCTGTTGTGACTTGAATTTAAGCTTGATTCGACAATATTGGAGGGTTTATGTCATTTGTGGCGCACTTGCCCATGATCACCCATGATTTTTATTTGTGATAAATATGTATTTTTTTCATCAAAATTGAATATTTTAATGACATTGAAATTGACACTAGTTTCATAAGGTAATGAAAACTTGCTTGTTGTGTCACAAGAACATGGTTTACATTCAGTATCAGTGCCCGGCTTGAGGACAAAGTGCCTACCCATCAGTCAGCTATTTGCCTACGTATTCGTGCGCCACAAGGAAATATTTGATAGCAACAAAATATTATATTGCTGCTCATTAATTAGCATGATCAAAATCAAACAGGTAGCTTTGCAATTTTGTTATTGTTTCTGCTGGGGTTTTCCTTGGTACCATGGATAAACAACCCAGGCCAAACTTAATCCGCATTGGGTTCACATGTGTGTGCGTGCTCACATGGCAAATGATAATCCATGGCTTATTAGTACATAAATAATTGCATTATGCAACAGTAGGTGGTAGGTATGTCATGTATTTTGGCAAGGTATTAGGTGGTATGTATTTTGGGCCTGGAGCTGTTTCCTATTCATTGCAGCAATGCTGCCGTCATGGCTTATGTGTACCATGCGCACACAAGCTCCACCAATGTAAAAATGTCGTTTTCACACAAAACTCATAATTGGAGGAAGGTAGAGCAGACCAAGAATAAGCGGGCATTTGCTGCAGTGTGGAAAAAGTCACTAGAGGCTTGATACTTTTTTACATGCAGCAGCCTGGAGATGTCCACAGAGGCATGCCTGAGGATGTCCACAGAGGTGGATCCAGGCAATAGTTTTTACAATCTTCTCCCCTTGTGCCCGCTGTGTGTTGTGCTGACTGCTTGTCCCCCTTCTGGTGGTGCCTAGACTTGCCTCTGCATATCTCCCCAGGCTGCTGCATAATGTCTAAAAAAAACCCTCAAGCCTCTAGTGACTTTAATCACTCCAGTCTCTACAGCATATGCCCACTCATGCTACAGCTGCCTTAATAATACCAAAATTAGTAACAATGGTCTCATAACCATATTCAGTAGGAAATGAATTACCTAGAAAATTATATTAAAAAATACACTTGCTTTCAAAAAGAATGAGCACTGCTAAAATGCTATTATTTCAAATAATGCTAGGTTTCTGAACCACAAATTCCAATTCTGTGTCACTGAATACTGATTGCCAATTGTACAAGACAAAAAGCATCAACAATGCTACATCAAGGATAATGATGCTAAGATAGTTCTCATTTTAGCCTGAAGTGTAAAAACCAAACCTAACCTGATTTGGGTATTTGGGTAAACCAAGCCTAACCTGATTTGGGTATTTGGGTAGTTTTTATGATGCTAAGCAATAGCCTATTCCAGGCTTCCTAATTTGCAGAGCTTTTGGTTAAAAAATGATTTTTAAAAATGTATTTGAAGTATGTTCTGACATGTCCGCCCTCTGTGCCTGGCAGACAAGTCACAGCGTTACCTGATGAGTCAAGAGGTTCTGTACCTGATGTACCTGATCAAGAGTACCTGATGATTCTGCAACACCACCTGATGGCCAACTCGACGGCATTGCTGACCCGAAAAGGAGTCTAGCAGCTGAATGTTCAACTTCTGCCACTGCACTGTTGACTCTGCCTAGAGACAGCATCTGCACCACGGCCCACAGACGATCTTCCGTGGGACGGTGTGCTGCGCACCAGTCACCACACTGACGGCGTTCACCTGTGTGCTGCACAACTTTCTGTGAGGTCAGGAGATCGACACTGACGGCCCCGGACGGTGTGCTCTGATTGCGCCGAGTGTGCTCCCTCGTGTCCGGGCCTTGATGCCAATACCGCACGCGAGGCGGCGCGCGTCCGCCAAGCCCTCACATACTGCGTCCAAGGTGCAGGTGGTGTTCGGTGACAGTGTGCAGCTTCTGCCGGCCCCGTGGACGGCACCGCATGTGACCATGGCATGTGCATTCGATTTTCTGACATAAGTGCAGTGAATTCATTTGTCATTTTGCTTCTGAATGGTGTCGCCGCTCGGTAGGGTCGATTCTGCCAGAGTAAAGAGGTCGCCACGATCGGCGGCGGTGGGCGGTGCGGCAAGCCGGAGCAAGGCACTCAGCAATCAGCTGCCGGGAGGTGGCGGCGGCGGCGGCGGCTGACGACTCGGGCCTCGAAAATCCTGTCGTGTGCGTTGCTGGCTATTATGCGTTGTTGGTGTGCGCTGTTTTGCAAGGCCTTTGGAGCGGCATGTCGAGTTTTGGACGAAGGAGCCTTGGTGTTTTGTTGGTCTATTTTCGATAAAAACGGTCATGAAGAGTGAGCTGTGTCCAGGCTGATTTTAAGATTTCTGTCACAGTATTGTCACCTTTGACCTAGGCTTGTGTCTTCTTGGGTATCGGCATATTGTGCCACCGTCTTTGCCCCGTGTCCGCGCGTGCTGCATTTTTATGTATGGTGTCATATACTGTCACCTCGCCATGTTTAGTGATATCCACTGTGTGGAAAAATGCATTTTGTTATAAGGGGGGGGGGGGGTACACTTGTGTTCCCCAATCCAGCGCTTTAGATAATACAGCATCTGTTTTTGACATAATGAAAGCCTGTGTTTTATGTGGGTGGTGGGCTTCGCCGTTCCTCAGGTCCGTTTCTGGCATTTGAATTTCTGCTACATTTCTAGAATGCCTTTTTTTCTGTTTTTCATATACAAAGCACGGTTCAAATGTGTGACCACAAATCACTGTGATTGTCCCATGCTTACCACCAACCATTCCTTCAATGCTAATGTCGTTACAGCGAAGTTATTCATTTATTGAGAACAGGGTTGTAGTTGAATAAACAAGACAGGTGAGCAAAATCTGCAGCACTCGTAGTCTTGGCTGATGCGTTAGGAAAAATGGAGGAACTGCAAGTACACATCACTTTTCAGTTTTATGCTTGAGTGCATTGAATTCCAATGTAGAAGAATCGCAGTTTGATTGTATTTTCATTGATATTATGTATTGTTTCAATAATACTCGTAGATCTAATAAATATTATTCCAATATTACCTAGACGGTAGTTATCATCCTGCAAAACATGTCCAAATATTTAGTACCTTGAATAATGCAGTAAAATAAGCTGCGCCGCTGCATGTATCAGCAGCGCAATATCTGGTGCCAACTCAAGGTCAAGCGGGTCACGTGACAGCTGAGCGGCGGCTGGCTAGTACAGTCGCCGGCGACTTCAAAATGTTGGAAAAATTGAACTTTCTCGGCAACGCCGACAACTCTTCAATGATTGGCTGACACGACTGCTACGTCACACCCCGGCGACTGGTCAGCTGATATCGACAACTGCGGAGTTGCCGGCGACTGACCCCGGTCGCTGGCGATCGCCGGCGACTGACCCCGGTCGCTGGCGATCGCCGGCGACAGTTGCCGTCGCCGGCGACCGGAAAAGTTGCTACGTGTGAAAGGGCCATAAGCGTATTCTAAAAAAGCCGACATATATACGACATGCGTGACAAGATATCTCAATGATAATGTGGTAACTGACGTCATGAATCCTCATACATTACAGAGATGGTTAGATACCTGACGCCGTTTGCAAAAAAGCACGACCTGCTTCGTGGAGAATGCATCTCCAATTGCCCGTTGGTGATTGATGGCAATGATCTCATGGCATCACTTGAGAAAAGGAAATATGATGAAACAGCAGGGGGAGGCATCTACCAAAGTTATGCCAGGAACGTGAAAACGTTCTTCTGCGATTTGCAAAGGTATGTTGGGCACAAGGGCGATTTAAAAATGATGCTACCGTAAAGGATGTGGGAGCTCGGCAACGGCACCCAACGCGCGACGTTGAAGGTTGTTGAAACTTTGTACCTTTTCCAATATTTCAGATCCGGAATTTCTCCTGTTGTGCTGCTCCATGACGAGCTACCCGTCAGACTGGGCATATCACGGGTGTCCGTGGAATTCTTCTTGGATTTCATACAGGACCCAGACAAGGACCACGGCTTTCGACGCACTGAGGCTCTAACCAGTCAGCTGCTTTACAAAAACATATTTTTGCAGGTAAGTAGTTAATTTGTAACTTGTCCAGTAGGTACCTGAAAATAGGTACAGTTTTTTCAAGATCTTACTCAATTTCCATTTTTTCGTTATTGACACAAATATCGTGTGTCTTAAATACAGATGAGTTTTAACACGCGCACCGACGGAGGGGGGCGGATATCCGCCCCCCCTGAGGTTTTTCGCGAATAGCGGAAAAACCGCGGCGCGTAGCGCCGCGAAATTTGGTACGACTATTCTCTTATCAATTTTACACATGGTGAGCAGGTTTGAACTTCCTATCTCTTAAGGTCAGGTCACCAGGTCACTTTGAATGACCCAACCTCAAGTCACTTTTTTGCAACTTTGTCACCGTGCCAGAGCTACAGTAGATGTCGGAGGCCTTTGAAAGTCGCAGGATGTTATAAGGTAATTAGTAGCTACAATTTGTTGATCTCGGAATTTTGATATCGATGACCTAAGGTCAGGTCAATTTCTCGACCTCCCCATTATAAGTCAATGGGGGAAAAATCAACTCCCTGTTTTTACCACTAAAACGGGTCGGAATTGCCCCATAAACCATACATGACCTCATATACGATCAACCTTCACTACCTTGAGGTCCGTTTTGCTGTTGGGCAGCTGTAAGGTCATGTGACGTTATCAAAGGTCACCAGTGGTTTTTTGCCAATAACTCCGTACAGGAACAAGATACAGCCGCGCGGATGGTCTCATTGTGTTCAGCTCGTCAAGGCGCATCGAATGATATACATGATGACCTCGAGGTCACGTGACCTGAGGTCAATCTTTGACCTTGACCTTTCGAGGTCAACATATATATCATTCGATGCGGATTGACGAGAGGATCACGATGCTGCCCTTAGTTTGTTCCTATATTTACTAGTTCGAAAGTTAGTCGAGAAAAACTCTCTCCATACCTAGCGCCGCCATTTTGACTTTTTTGACCCCTGTGACGTCACCTTTGACCTGACCTGAAAATGACCTTCGTAAAAATTGTAGACCTTGTCCGTGCGTATCCCTTGCCGTTTACCGCTTGTCGCTATCTTGCTTCGTTCTCGAGATCTCAGGGGGGGGGGGCGGTCATCCGCCCCCCCCCCCCGTCGGTACGAAGTTGGCGCAGACCCCCGTCGGTGCGCGGGCTAATTAATGTTTTTTCTGCGCGTTACTGATGGACCCCACAGGGTAGTGATATCCATTAGAATATTGAGGTACCTATACAAAACCAAACAAACCATGAGAAAGTATAAAATTTGAACAGGCTTTTGAAATTGAAACTGAATGCACATTTTCCGCGTCGGCCGGTCACCGTCCCAGCCGGCGACATATTACTCTTTGCAGGCTTCTAACCAGTTGTGCATGGATCCCAGAAAATGGGTCTGGGATCTATTCCCAGAAATCCTGATCTCGGATCCGATGGGATCATAGACCCAGCTTTTTAGTTTACTGAGAGATCCACTTGTATCACAGGTCCGAGTCAATTTTTTTCATTGAGACCATAGTAAGATCATGATCTTCACTAATTGTTGTCAACACAAAAATCTCAAAAATTCACTTGTTCCAACTCACAAACGCTCTGTTTTTTTTTTTTTTTGATTTATACGATTGCACGCCATAATTCACAATTCTGACTTCTGTGGCACTTTCTGCCAGAGAAACGCCTGAAAACATACTTTCAAATGTTGTGTATGGTGGAATCCTCTCAGGTCATAGATCCATGTCCTTAGTTTATCGTCAAATCCTATAAGATTATAGATCCAGGATAAATGTTTAACTGCGGATCCGGTGAGATTATAGTTAGATCCTGACTTGCAGTTTGTCTCGAGATCCACTGAGATCAACCCATCACTCGGATCCATGCACATGTCTGCTTCTAACCGCCATTTTGATTGTTAATTAAGCATAGATTTGCCATACATAGGTACTCAAATATTTGCTTTGTCGTAAAGTGAACGTAATAGGAGAGTCAGCCAGTAACTTTTTAAGTTATCGGCGTATAAACGTAAAAAGTCACTAATGTGGCAAGTTTGACCACGATTGACCTCATTTGACCTTGGAGATATTGACCTAGGGTCATGTTATTCCCAGACAATGAAGTTGGCGGACGCGTTCACTTACCATCCAAATTTCACCTTTCTAGCTTTTATAGGACCTGAAATATGTTTATTGTTTTTATGACCCCCCCCCCCCCCTCTCCACTAGGCTGAGTACTCGTAACCCTTCTACTGTGCGTGCATATCCTTCCAGGCGGTTGGGGGCATTTTTTGCCCTCCTTTAATTTTTTCGATATATCTCCAGAACCGCTGCCCCAATCGTCACCAAACTTTTAGTACCCTCCCGTGAATAGCTTTTGCACATTGTGAGTAAAAATTTTCCAAAGGCTATGATAAATTGGCAGGTAATGACGTCAGTGATGTCATTTCTGCCATTTTCGACCCATAAAAAGTTTTGCGGAAAGAGCTGTTAGTCCTACAGCTTTAGAGATACAGAAAACTGTTTCATAAAAAGGTGTAGAATCAACAGGGCTACAAACCTGCTATCTCGGATTTTTGAAATTTTTGGATTTTGACCCCAAAAGTTAAAATAGCTTTTTAATGTAATGACCGAAAAATCCAAAGATTTTTTTGAATTTCGAAAAAAAACGGAATATATGTGATAGTGGGGGCATTCCACGATAGATCGTACCAGGCCCGTCACCCTCATCTCTCAGATTTTAATGAAAATCGGTCCTAGAGGTAATCATAGGCCCCAAAGACGCCTGGCAAAATATCAGACTTCTCAGATCAAAACTTTTTGAGTTATATTGCATTACATTTTTTTAACTTTGGTTTGTAACGGTGAGTTTGATGGCCTATAACTCAAGAACGGGTTATGCAACCAACAAACGGGAAACAACACTAAGCTTGCGATGAACCAAAAATTGATATTACTTTTTAAGAATTCTAAAGAAAAATTTTGATTGTTGAACAAAAAACTTAATCTTTTTTCATTTGCCACTAACGACTTTTGGGATCAAAATTTTTCACATTTTTATTTTTTGAAAATAAACTTCATGTCATTGCAAATCGACATGCAAAAAATTAGAAAGGTGGTCTTTCTATAAGTTCCTCATTTTCCCGCAAACAATATGGGTTTCGGAGGGGTTCATACGACCCCAGCACGCCGTTTTGCTTCTAATAGAGGTAGAGCCTCGCGGAAAAAACGAACGTGTGTGCCGTTACAAGTCGCAGCAATTGGTACCCAATTTTAAGGTCTCAGGTTAACCGGTAGCGTCTGAGGTCAGGTCAAGTGACTGAAGTTACGGGTTCGGTTTTTAGTAAATAACTTCGCAAAAAAATGGCCGCAGAGCCGCAATTTTGGCATCATTGTGTTCGCCTAGCTCAGGTGCGTCGAATGGTATACTTTTTGTTAGGGTGAGGTCAACTTAAGTAGTTGACCTCGGGTCAAGGTCAGGTCAGAGCCCCTCAGGTCACGAAGCTGGGCAAAGGGTATCATATGGCATATCATTCGATTCGGAAGGTCTTCCCGAGTCCATTGGTGGCTTTCCCGACTCTCTAGCTCAATTTGATCGGGAGTTATTGTCGAAAAACTCGTACGACCCTAGTGACGTCATAAATGACGTCACGCAAGGTTAACAATGCAAAAGTGAAGCATTGGACTTTGCAAGGAGTGCATGAAATCACGATACCATGTACGTGAGATAGTTTTAGATCATTATCGGCGCCAAAATAACAGATTTTATATTTCCCCATTGACTTATAGCAGTGATGTCACGTGACTCATGTGACCTTCAAAAATTCCCAGATATATAAGTTGTGAGACCTCTGAAGGACACCATGTATGCGTCCTGTAACTTTTATCTCGGGCAGCTATGGTCATTGGCGTCCAAAACAATGTCAGAACCAAACAGCCTTTTTCACTCTCGCGCTTATAGGAAAGAGGGTTGGATGAACCCTCTTTTCATTTTTTCAGATGACCAAGACTTCAATTGAAATTTCAGTAACCCGTGATGTCACTAGGCAGCTTTACCACGCCATTTGTAAGCTCCCCTCCCAAAATCACTATTCGTAACCGTTATCGTGACGTAAAATAAATACATTTCTCCGTCCCGCTGCGCTTGCAAAGACATGACTGGTGGATACGGGTCTATGTATTCCTGACATTTACCCCAAGTCATGCTCTTTGGGTGAGGGTAACGCCCCCGTGAGGTACACATCAGGGTAACAATATACATAGCCGGGAGCACGTTCACAGTGCTACAAGATAAACGAGACAGGCGGCGGCGGGGTGGCGGTGGACAGAACACATATTGTCACGTGGCACTGCGGGCGCTCACTGAGGCCTGAGGGCCGGTGGTGCTCACGCCGTGCGGTAGGTGTCGCTACAGGCTACAGTTTGCGCCCGCGTGCAGAGAAAGGCTTTGCTGCGCGCCACTGTTAGTCGCGCGCATCAAATACATTTCTCCGTCCCGCTGCGCTTGCAAAGACATGACTGGTGGATACGGGTCTATGTATTCCTGACATTTACCCCAAGTCATGCTCTTTGGGTGAGGGTAACGCCCATACCCCCACCCGAACCCGCACGGGACGGAGAACTTGGCGTGAGGCGATGCCATGAACATTGAACATCATCGAACACATGAATACACAGATGATCGGTCGGCTTAGGGCTGCCGTTCCGCCCGTCGGCGGCGGCGCGACTGAGTCGACTACAGACAACCCGTGGCATCAACCGACGTAAAAACATATTCCAAAATCATTCGGGAAAACCCTGTTTGCGGAAATCGCGGACGACTGGCTAACACCACGTCAGCATGGCCAAGGCTGCCGCTCCGCCCAAACGGGCGGCGGCCCGGAAACCGGGCCTAAAACGGGCAGCCGTGGCGTCGGCGGTGCTGCAGTGCCGCTCACAACGCGCAACATAAAACAAAACGCCTTGACACCATGAAATGCAGTATACAGTAATAGGTCTGTCCGCTGCGAGCTGTCGCTCCGCCTTGCGGCGGC